TTGCAGTTTTACTTTACACTGTGTTCATATGGTTACAAACTCAGGGTCCTGTTAAAGAGCACCCTCCTTACCCTCTCAAAAACAGGGTCTCATATAGTCCACCCACCTCAAACTCGTGGTCCTGAACTCCTGACTTTCTTCCTGAGTACTCCAGTTAGATCCCCAGCATCACAGAAACCCACATGGTGGCGCAGTGGACAATTGTTCTAGTTCTTGTAAAAATGCATTTAATGTTACCTGGTTGAGATGGAAAAAACCTAGAACCTTGATCTCACCTCCAGATAAAATAAGGACTGCTGTGTAGCTCAGGGCATAACACTTGCCTGGTAACAACAAACCGTTGCATTTATATTTACGTAGATATGCAAGCTTTTCCTTCTATTTTTCTTTTGCCTTGCTAGGGATGGAGATTTCACACAAGTTCTCCACCTTGCTCTACTGTACATATCTAGTCCTATATGCAAATTTTCCTGGATAGTTTTATGTCACTTACCACAGGCTAAAGTCATCTGAGAGGAGGGAACCTCAATTAAGAAAATGCTTCCATAAGATTAGGCTATAGGCAAACACGTAGAACATTTTCTTAATTAGTGATCGATAGGGAAGTGCTCAGTCCATTGTGGGTGGTGCCATTCCTGGGTTAGTGGTCCTGGTTCTATAAGGAAACAGCCTGAGCCAGCCAGGGAAAACAAGCCAGTAAGCAGCATCAGCTCCTACCTCCAGGTTCCTGCCCTGTTTGAGTTCCTGTCCTGACTTTCTCTAGTGATGAACTATGATCTGGAAGTTTGAGCCAAATAAACCGTTTCCTCCCCAAGTTGCTTTGATCATGGTGTTTCATCACAGCAATAGAAACCCCAACTAAGACACAAATGTTTCTTTTTTTAAATGTTTATTTTTTAGGAGTATATTACTTGTGGGTATGTATGTACAGTATGACCTTGTGCTTGCAGAGGCCAGAAGAGCTATCAGATCCCCTGGAACTTTAGTTACAGACAATTGTGGGCTGCTATGTAGGGTCTGAAAACTAGACTTGGGTTCCCTGGAAGAGCAGTCAGTGCTCCTAACCACAGAGTGTTGTAGATTGATCTGGTGCTATGTATTCTAATGCTGATTACTGGCCCCCAAAATATGGTTGCTCCCAGGATATGCCTACATCCTCATATATACCAGTCTCTATTGGGTAAACCTTACTCTATCTAATTTAAAGTTGTTTGGTTAATAAAGTTGCTGAAACCTGTAACTGGGCAGAAGAGAAGTAGGCAGAGCTTAGGTTTTCTGACTTGGGGTCTGAGAAGGAGCATGAGGCTGTGTTGGAAAAGAAGGGAGAGAGGAAGCAGAAGATGTACCAGGAGGCTAGGAAGCTGGAGAGAAGGAAGTCGCTGTGGGGCAATGTGGACCACAAGCACGTGGCCATGAAGGCTGGCTTGACGGACCAGAAGCACCCCAGGCAGGAACTACTAAGGCAGGCAACTTGGGTGTAGCTAGGAAACAGCAAAAAAAAGCTTAGAAGGTTGATACCTGTCCAGTTATTTTGCCTTAAAGCTTTTTATAAATCCAAGAGGTCTTTTTCTCAATTAGTTGGGAACTAGCAGGGGTGAAGAAGCACCCAGTGTCTAATATCTTCCACATCAACAGAGCCACCTCTCCTATTCCTGAAAATATTTTTTTAGATGAACTTAGGAGCAGAATTCCCTGATCTAAAGAATTAAATTGTCGTAATCTGTTTTTCTAAGGACTGAAAAATCTGTGCTCTGATCAATGTGGTGTATCTTCCTGTTTCATACCCTTGTCCTCTACTTACAAACCATTGTTATGACTTTCATTCCTCTGATACTCCCAAAGTTAAGCATCATTTCAAGCATTTATAAGAACAGCTCTAGTTCCAAAAGTCCCTTTTCCATGTGATAGTTTCTAACGCCCAAAAATTTTCAAGGAAAACATCTGCATTTCTGATCTCCTGTGTATCATAAGGCCATCTTTGAAATCAAGTTTCCATGGAAACAACTTATGAATTTCCTGATTCAAACTGAACCAGTACAATGAATGATTATATCGCCATATCATTGTACTAGAAGGGACAAAATGCCAAGAACTAATGGCTGAATCATCAGGAGCACATTTCTGCCACCACTTCCTTTTTATTCTGGTATGTCTAAAAAATTAGATTCCAAGTGCTCCCATTGCCTTTGGGAGCACTTGGAGGAGTTGGCAAGTTTTCAAAACTCCAGAACTACCTGACTCTCAGATGTCTCATTTTCTCTACAAGGATCTGAGCTGGGTTCACAGAAGTTAGGAAGTGTCCTGGAAGCCCCCAAACAGGTGCTTACCACAGAGAACATGCCCGTAACAAATCACTACCAAGCAGAGTGAACTCTTATTAAGAGTTTAGGGGCTGGGGATATGGCTCTGTGAGTAAAATTATTGTTACAAGGACACGAGGACCTGAGTTTGGATCTCCAGAACCCACATAAAAGGTGAGCATAGCAATACATGCTTGCAGTGCCAGCCTTGGGGGAGCAGAGGCAGTAGGATCTCTGGGGACTTACTAGTCACCAGTGTAGCTAAAATGCTATCTCTGAGTTTAGCAAGAGACATTGTTTCAAAGATAATGTGGTGAGCAATTGAGGACTAAGTCTTAATGTCAACCTGTGGGAGAACACACTTGCACATATACATGGTTGCATATAACACACACACACACACACACACACACACACACACGAGTGCATAGCCTGCCCCAAATCCCAGGACTAGGAAAAAAGGAGTAGGAAGAGCAGGCTTTCAAGGTCTTCCTTAGCTGCATAGCAAGTCTGATGTCAGCCTGGGCTATATGAGACCACGTCTCAAAAAGGAGAGAAAGAGAAAGAAGAGGAGGGAAGAGAGAATAAGAAAAGAGGGAAAGGACAGGAGAGGGGAGGAGAGGACATGGGAAGGGAGAGGATGACAGGGGAGAGGAGGGGAGGACAAGGGAGTAGAGGGGAGGACAAAGGAAGGGAAAGAAAGGGGAAAGGACAGGAGGCGAACAAGATGGCCTAGCAAGTAAGGCACTTGCTGCCAAGACAAACTACCTGAGGCCAATTCCAGGAGAAAAATGTCACTTGTCCTCTGATTTCCATGTTTGTCCTGGCATGAACTCACCTGAATTCGCAAACCTCATGCATGAACACACATACACACCATATGCACGCACATAGTAAGTGTAAGGATTTTTTAGAGAAGAGTGTGTGTGTACACTTCTCAAGAGAGAGCCAAGTTTGTCTTTACAATAGTTCTGAATGTGATCTTTGGTGGCCTCTGAAGTTAGATCTCAGGGGTTGCTAAGGAAATTAGGGTGGGGTGGTAAATGAAATCATGGGGTGCACCCACAGGTCATGAGAGATTTAAGATATGCTTTTACTGTAATCAAATAATTTAGTCTTGTTTGTGAGATTCCCAGAAAATTGCAGGTTTTCAGCTGAGAATGAACTATAGCCTTACTTGAAGGTCACACTTAGAGCAAGCACAGTTCATTGCTATTTTCACATTCCTGTGTGAACTATCTCTGCATGAAAGGCACACTGTTTCTATGCAGGCGATCTCACAGCAAGAAAGACATGGTGACTCAAAATAGCAACCTAAGCAAAGGCACAGAGGGAGGGGAAGAGTGATGCTAAGGAAGTAAGAGGCTGATGCTAGAACCACAGGCTCCTGAGAAGCCAGAATGAAGTGTCTGAACCAGTGAGCTGGTCTGCTTTCAGGGTGTTTAAACAGATTTATTCTTATTTAAGTGTGTGTGTGTGTGTGTGTGTGTGTGTGTGTGTGTGTGTGTGTGTACAGGCATGCGTGCTATGGTTGTGTGGCTGCCTGTGGAGGACAGAAGAAGGTGTCAGATTCCTATAGGTAGTTGGGACATGCCCAACAGGAGAGGGGAACCAAACTCCAGTCACTTACACGAGCATTCCTCACTCTTAAACAGTGAGCCATTTCTCCAGTCCCTGTGGACCTTGCTAAGGAGTTTGCCCATTGTCCTACAGGAAAAAGGGAGCCATCCACAGAATTTGATAAGTGCAGGGGAGGATGTGTGGGCCATCCATCACTCTTTGATAATGACATCTCCTGACAGAGAAAGGCTAGCATGAAGGAGGACAGGAAATAGCGTGTAAAATATCTAAGTTCAGTGTGGACAGAGCCAGACAGGAGTGAATTACAATAATATTTACAAAGTCTAATACTCAGACAGTCATGTAGCACTGAGACAGGATAGAAAAACAGGACAAGTAAGGGGACAGAAAGAAAAAGGAGCCTTATTTAGGAGCCTTGTTGAAACCTCTCTCACCAACCAAGAGTCAAGGCTTCTAAGCCTACTCCCCAAGTGCTGGCATTACAAGCATGTATTGCTACATTCAGTTTTGTATGAGTTCTAGAGATCCAAACTTGGGTCTCACACTTGGCTAGCAAGAACTTCACCCACTGAGCACACACAGGGATACACATGTATGCACAATCCAATAAAAAGAAATCTTTTTTTTTTTTAGCTGATAAATCTACTGTCAAATGTTTGAATTAGGAAAAGGTAAATGCTGAACTCTTGGGTCCTACTCTTGGCTGTTTTTGCTGATTGGAACCATTTGTGAGGAAAAAACTCAAAAGCATATCCCAGAAATCCAACAATTGCTATGGATCTCTCTAAATTTCCAGACCTTATTACAACAACAAGAACCAGGATGTAGAAATGCCAGTCAATTCAAACTCTAAAACTAGAGGAGTTGCAGCTTAGGAAATAGGTTCTAATAGTTTCTGTGTTCCAAAAAATATTGGGCATCAATATTAACCACTGAAAATCAAAAGGGAACAGGGTACCATGAGTAATAGAAAGAGAAGCATGAACAGAAAGGTTCTAGCTACACATGCTATGGGCCTGGAATCACTCTTGGATGATCCCAGACTCTTAAAGTCAAAGGTTAGAGATGACCAAAGTTCACATTCTGGGGAGCAGCTGGCGTTGTGCATAGTCCTGTTTCCCAAAGGGCTTTCTGGCTTTGGTTTGAAAGGTTCTTGCAATTTTGTTTTGTTGTGGTTTTCCTTTCTGGTCACAGCAGGCAGCCACATTGACAGCACACGCACTGTGGAACTAACACTGCAGATTCCTGTGCGGTTTTGACGTCCCTTTTAAACTGTGCAGGTTAGTGCCTTTTAGTAAACTGCTTAGGCTGTGCAGTCATGGCCACTGTTGAACTTTAGAACATCTCCTCACTCTGGAAACCTAAGGTATCAGCAGTCATTCCCTGCAGTCCCACCCCAGCCTCTGGCAATGGTTCTTGGCTTTTATTTGTTCAGCTTTAATATTACTTATTATTATTGTGTAAGTATGCACGATATGGGACAGGTGCGTGTACCAGGGCATGCACGTTGTCAGAGCACAACTCTGTCTGTTTCTTTCTTCAGCTTTACATGGGTCACAGGAATCCACCCGCTTAGGTCCCCAGCCCTGCAAGGAGGTGTCTCTACCTGCTGAACCATCTCACTGACTTACTTCTTGGGTTTTGAGAGTAGGGATGTCAAGCTCTCACAGCACACCACTGCTGGCTGAGGCACATGTGTTTCCACAAAAAGTTACTTATCTCCTTCTCCTCACTGAATATTTTTATTCTTCAAAGTCCTTGAGGCTGCCTAAAATCCATGAGTTTGCATCACAAGATTTATGTACCTCTCTCCCCCTCTCAAAAAAAAAAAAAAAAAAAAAAAGCTCAATTGGTTCTTGTTTAATTCAGTTTATCTGCTACAGAATGAGATGAAAAATGCCATGCACTAGTAGGGAACAAAAAAACTAAGGAATCTTCTTAAAGACTAGATGGCTTTCTACTGGATTAACGTATGGGATTTGCTTTTTCATGAGACAATGGGCTCTTGTCTAATTTTAGATTCGATAAAGCATTTCCTGGGATCGACGGGGGCCCTGGCTTCTCTTGTTACTGAGAACACACACAGCGACAAGAGATTTTATGAAAAGAAAGAAGAAAAAAGAAGAGAAAGAATTGGTGGCTAGTGCTTTCTGTCATCACTGAGACAACCACGTCAAGAAAGATGCCGCGCGATGCCCGAGAGCTTCCTGAACGACAATCGCCAGCTGAGCTCGGAGGCAGAGCACTTGCCTGGCAGCACATAAACTAGGTGTGTCGATGTATGCCTGCAGTTACAGCGCTGAAGAAATAGAGAAAGGAGAACCAGGAGTTCCAGGACATCCTCAGCTATGTAGTGAGTTCAAAGCTCATTTTAGAAACATGACTCTTAAAAAAAAAAAAAAAAGTTCATCAGAAGTTCAAACATTTAAAAAGCATATGCATTTTATATTTTATACCCACATTGTGCTCCATGAACTCATATATTAACCTCCTAGTGACTGTGTAACCCCAGCATATTCCTGCAGAAAGGGACTCCCAGGTACCACACACCCACACACTTTTGGTCTAAGTAGCCCATTTGTTTTCAGTCTCTCATACTGTAAAGAATGTCCAGCTGTGTGTATGTGGTCCATGGGCCAATTGCATCTGCAGTCCCAAGGAGACTGCAGGGGGCAGTCCCAGGGGGCAGAGCCTCAGCCCCCAGTCAGACCTACAGAATCCCACCTATCTTTCACCAGAATGCTGAGTTGATTCTAAAATTTAGGGGTTGGGGGGACTGTTAACTAAACTTCATTATTACTGTCTAGTCTTGGCAGTCACTCAAATGATCCCAAACAGAGCTTAAATATTTTGGGAATCTAAATCTTATTGTTTAAATATTTTATGCATTTTGGGTGTACAGCTGTGTGCATCTATGTGTGTTGGTGTGTTAGGTGTCCTCTCTAATCTCTCTGCACCTTTTTTTTTTTTTTATACAGGATCCATGCCTTCAGTGAGCTCACTGATTCAATTAAACTGGCTACACCACCCTTAGCACTGGGATTGCTTGACCCATCTTCCACATGGGTGCCAGAGCAAGACTTCAGGTCCATCCTCACAGTCCTCCTACCCCCTCCATCTCCTTTTGAGCAATTTTGGAGATAACAGAAGGTGATAATGCTCCACCCAGGTTGGATTCCTACCAACCACAGAAAAGTGAGTGCCCACCATGGGACAGCTTTCATTAAAATCACAGCTTTCCCTTATAAAAGGAGCTCATGATCACCTCAGAAAACCAAGGAACCACTGGGAAGAAACTAAAATCACTGGAATTCCCACCTGAATAGTCAACATGCATGTATTGAGTGCTCTTTCCAATTATAATCACTTTATAAAACTAGGGCATAAAATAGAGATAATTTGTGTCTTTTTTCCATACAGTATTATTTTCAGGACCCTAAAACTTTTCAATATTGTTTTGTTTTTTTACTTTATTTTCATTTTTGTTTGAGTCAGAGTCTAGTGTACCAGGCTAGCCTTGTCCCCTGATCCCACCTCCACCTCCCAAATGCTGAGATTACGGGTGAGCACCATACCATTCAATATAACTGTAATGGCTTTATCTTCTCATGCATCAAAACCATGTTTTCCTTAAGCGCTCTCATTTTTCTGCCTCAGCCTTCTAGTGTGGAGTTACAAGCCTGTACTACCACACTTGGCTAATATCTTTTCACCCCTTAGAAAAACATACCTAACGTTTGTGCATATGTCACAGCACCAGGCCCATTTTGCCCAACACACAGAGCTCCCAACTAACAGAGATGATGAATCTTGTAGCAGTTTTCTTGCAAAGCAGCAAGTACAGCAACTAGAGTCTGTCTAACCAGCCACCCTGAGGAGGTGGAGGGGTTTGTATGAGATAAAGAAGTGGGGTATGCCCAGGGGTAATGAAGGGAAGCAGTCAGGGCTTGCCTTCACTCGCTCACCCTGCTCATGCTCACTAGCCTTCTGGACTCCTCAGACACTGCTCCAAGGGGGATCTTCTAACAGACACTTTTGTGGTCTAAGTGAAGGCTTCTCAGAGTTTATGACACTCTGCCTCTCTTCTCTAAACGGCTACTTAGGCAGCCATTGCCACTGGCGCCTATATCAGAGGTGTTACATACAGCAAAGCTAACGGGGACTTATGAAGTGGGTGATTCTAAGCAGCACCAGAGCAAATGGCACTGGAGGGTGCTCTCAGGCTTTGCCTTGGTTTTCTGCCAAATCTTCTCATGACTTTCTGATTGTCTCTGTAGATTTTCAGAAGTACGGTTACCAAGTCAAGCATCACAAAACTCTTGGTGTGGTTTGGTTTGGTGTTGGTGGTGATGTATTTTTAACTGAGGGCTTGAGATGTTCTAACTTGTGTATATACTAGTTAATGATTGAATAGGACTTTCATCTCGAAATTTTATCATTTCTTTGGGGTTAACATCAATGTATCACGTGGGTAGCCAATGGGAACTGAGCCAGGCCATGCCCACAGCACTAGTGCTTTGCTCTTGCCTTCTCTACCAGCAATTTTTTGTTTTTTATACTTACTACTGTATCTGTGTATTTTGTCTACATGTATGTGAAGACACTATTTTCTTACCTAGTGCCCTTGAAGGTCACAAGATGGCATCAGATCCCTTAGAACTGGAGTTACAGACAGTTGTTGAGCTACCATGTGTGCGCTGGAAATTGAACCTGGGTCTTCTGCAAGAGCAGTCAGTACTTTTAACCACCAAGTATCTCTCTTACCACCCCATTTCTTTCTCTTTGTGTGTGTGTGTGTGTATGTGTGTGTGTTTTATGTTTCCTTTTGTTTCTGAGTTTAAATTGCTTTATTAGTTTCCTTTTCATCATATCCCCCAAAATATAAACTATTTCCCTTAATGGAGCACTGAGGCCAATGCTCTGCCCCCTGAGCTCGCAGCTGCCCCATCATCAAGCTTCAGTTTTAACAGTGACCTCAGCCCTAGAAACAAGCTTCCTTACTATTACTTTAACCACTTTGGCCCCAGAGTAGAAATCAACTTTCCAACCAGCAAGCAGCATCTCTGCTACTTTATGATTTTCTTTTTAATTATGTGTACTGGTCGGGGTGGGCAGGTGGGGTGGTAGCAGGGAGTTCAGAGGTGTTGGCTGCCTGCAGCTGGACTTGCAGATAGTTGTGAGCAGTCCAGCATGGGTGCTGGGAATGAAACTCGGGTCCTCTGCAAGGCAAGAGCAGAGCATGCTCTGAACCACTGAGCCTGCGCATCTCTGCCGCCTTCCTTCAGTTACTTAATGCAAATCATTAGAAGATAGCAAAGGCAGCACATTCAAGCCACCCACAAGCTGCCTGCATGGCTGTGCCATCCCAAGAAAGACAGTGAACTGTGCCTAACATTTTTGTGTTACCCAAAGTCTCACTGCATTTTGCTGTGTAAAACGATGTCTTTCCTGCCAGTGTTTCTTGACATTGCTGGCTAGTGCTTATTAAAAAACCTATTTAAACAGCATAGGCAGTCTATCTTTGCATCTGTTCAGGCGGGTTGAAATTGAGAAGGCCCAGTGTCCTGTATTTCCCTCTTTCATTTGACTCATCTGAGGCTGACTCACTCTTTAAATTTCTTAGTACACTCACTCTTGAGAAAACCCTGTAAAGATCTCAGGGAGTGCTAGGGGCTTGCCCTGTGGTACCTGACAGAATCCATTTATGTCTTTAAATCATAGTGGTATCTGCTTCTCCTTGCATGAAATTCAGAGAATAAGCCCAGAGTTTAATCTCAGCACTCAGCTGAGGCAGAAGTATCTCTTTAAGATCAAGTCTAGCCTGGTCTACATAGCCAGTTTCAGGCCATCCAGGGCTGTACAGTGACAACCGGTCTCAATAAGTAGATGATAGATAGATAGATAGATAGATAGATAGATAGATAGATAGATAGGAAATAAGTAAATTCAGGAAAATAATGGCAATTGTCTCATAAGACTGATACAACAGTTAAATGAGACTAGTTATTAAAAGTTTTTGACACAATGCCTGGCACAAAACAGAAACTAAATAAGTGTCATCTTACAAATCAGACATCCTTACTCCTAGTCCTTTTGCCCCTGTAGATGATCCCACGTGACTCCTGCTTGCTGAGAAGATCATTTCTCCACTCACCATCATGTTTTTCCTGGACCCTGGCTGCCTCATCCTCACCTCTTATTTCTATCTCAAGGAAAGAATTTCTTCATTGCCAAGACTACCCTGGCTTTTAGATCTTTCTTTTTCCTTCTCCCCTTTCTTGCTGTGTTCTTTCTTCCCTCCTCTTCAACTCTCCTCCTTCCCTCTTCCACTGTGTTCCTCCTTCCCTTCTTCCTTTTTTTTTGTCCTTCCCTCCCTCTGGCTTAGAACCAGAGTTCTTCAGTTCTTCTCTCTCTTAGGTGAGTGTGTTTTTCCCTGGAAGGCACACTCTGTTTTTGTTGTGAGAAGTTCTTTCCTGCCTTGTTAAAAAAAAAAAAAAAATCAACCTTAACCCTTGTGATTCCATTGTATGTTGCTACATAGTAAACTACTCCAGGACTTAGTGGCTTAAAATAATGAAGCACTTTTCTCTCACAGATCCTGTTAGTCCTGTTAGCCCTGGTGCCTCCAGAGAGCTATGGGGAAGAAAATTAAAATCATTGGAATTTCCACATACGATACCTAATACATTGCTACACACACATATTTATGCACACACTGAGTGCTGTTACCAATACTAATTTTTATTTTACAAAATTAGAGGCATAAAATAGAGATAATCTTTTTTTTACATATTGTTAGTACTTGGAATCCCCTGGTCCAGGTTCTGCCTGCTGGTAACACTTGATCACACATGGTGCTCATTCTACAGAGATGTGGACGACTGCAAGAGCTCCAAAAGGCAACATATCAGTTATTTTGTTGCTATGACAAAACAACAGGACCAAAAGTAATTTATGGAAGAGCTTATTTGGCCTTCCAATTACAGAGGGATGACAGTCCATCAGGGCAGGGATGACATGGCAATCTGAGAGGCCAAATCTCTACCCACAAGTAGGAGGGAAAGGGACAGGGACAGGAACAGGGAGAAGTGGGGAGAGGGGAGAAAGGGAAAAGTGGGAAGGGGAGAGGAGGAGAGGGGAGAGGGAGAGAGAGAGAGAGAGAGAAAGAAAGAGGAGAGGAAGAGAGCAAACTCCCCAGTGACATATATCCTCCAGCAAGGCTCTACTTCCTGAAGGTTCTACATCCCCAAGCAGCACCAGAAACTTGGGACCAAGTGTTCAAGAACCTGAGCCTAGGGGGACATCTTTGGTTCAAACTACCACAGGCCTCTCTAGCAGCCCTTACATCCGTTCCTCATGTGTTATCAGTTGTAGGGTTCTGCCCATGTTGCCCAAAGCCCTCATGACAACCTGAAGTCATTAATGAATGTCTTTGAGTGCTGTCTCTTTTCTGACTAAAGGAGAACTGCCTTCTATGAATGCGCAGGACAATAGCAATGCTTGGATCCTCCCAAGCATCCCAGTGATAAGCATTAGTGAATGAAGAAGGTGGTTTCAAGATGGAAAGTCTCATTAGGCCATTTTTTTAAACTATAAAATGATGTCTTCACAGAAGTTTATGAGTTCTATAGGATAAAATACAAACACCCCAAATCACAAGAAATTCTTGAAATACATGTAGCCTATCATAGACATATTCATGGGTCTCTACCAGACAAAATGACTGCTCTTGCTCAAACAAGATGGCCTCATATTATAAAAGGTCAAACATGGTATTAGATTCCAACAGAATGAGATGTTGAGGCAGAGGGATTATGAGTTCAAGGCTAGTTTGAGAGATATAGCAAGATCATATCTCAAACAAACAAGCAAGAGCTTGCAAAATGTTTCAGTGGGTAAAAAGCCAGTTATGAGTAACCATGAATCAGTCATGATGGAATGTTCATAATGCAGTCATGATAGCAAGTGGCTTAGCAGTATAAAAGAAAAAAATGAAAGAAGTAGAGAGACTGAAACTCATGTACAAGATGAAGCCTCCACATTGTTGTAGAAATCTCAAAGGGTGGAGGTTGAGTTCTGAATGACAAGCTTTTTATCTGAAGAATTCTACACGGTATGACATATTTGTCTACATTGTACACAAGAAGGTATCTTGAATAATTAACTAAGGCCACTGGGAGTGGAGCTGAATTTGAACCAAAGTTCATCTTGGTCTGAAGATTGTTAAATTCTTTCAATGCACTGTGTACATTCCATTTTTATTGTTAAAGCCAAACAGAAGTAGATCAAATTATAATCTATATATAAATGTTAAGCCCAAAAGGTAAATATAAGGAATTGTTGAAATGCCCAAGAAGGGGAGGAATCAGACCCTAGAAGCCCTCAGCCTCATCAATCTCATTGCCATGCCATTAATTTCTGGACATGTTCAATACAAATATGATTTTATAGGAACACAAAGGGCTTTGGAAAGGAAACTACATAATTGAAACTCAGACGCTCCTAGCCAGAAGCAAACTAACCAAGTGTTTTACTCAACTTAATTCTTTCCTTGGAAAACACATTCAAAAGTGTTAAATGGCTTACCTCATTTCAAAGTCCAAGCCAGGTCACTCAGGACTGTCAGCCCTTGACATCACATAGAATGTAGTTCCATTTCTCTGTCCCAAGACTGTGTCTTGGCTTAGATCAACACCAAGCCACCCCATTTTGCTTAGGCATCTCATCCTGTTTGGCAGTCCTTGCATCCATGCCCTGATTTTGCAA